TTGAGGAGCCTCTTGCCGTTAGCCAGATCCCTAAATACTTTATTTTCTTGGTTACTTGAATTTGCGTATTGATTTCCAAAACTTTTTCCTGTTTCTATGTAAGATTTTTAGTTATTAATTTTGATTTATTTAAAAAAAAACCTTTTAGAGGGGTGCAGCGAAAGGCTCAGAGACAACGGCAGGGTGGGGCTTTTGGGGGGTCAAAATAGGAAACTCCCGCCTGCCACTGAAGCTGTTATTTTCTGTTTTGTTTTCAGTTCTTCCTTGATCTTCCTTGCTTCTATGTGGTATTTCTTCATTAGGCATTCTGTAGTCTCCTTATTCTTCAGCGTCTTGTTTTTCATCTGTTCTCACTTGCATCTGATGTCAGCTTTCTGATCATGTCCAAAAATGGAGAACCTAGAGAGAAACAGGCTGTGGTGACAAGCTCACCCTGCTCAGCTTCGCTGACTCACTGAAGGTGTCTGCGCAGGATATCCGATCCACTTTTGGTGCGTTGGGCAGCCTCAGTGAGTCTGAAGGAGCCCGAGACTGCGCCCCCAAAGGCTTCCCTTCTCCACACCTGAAGCTTTTGCAAACAGATGAAATCGCTTCAAGGGAGCGATTATGCATCACTTCGGGTCTTCTGTCCCTTTACCAAAGATTTTGGGAGCAGAGAAGCCTGAAGAGGGCTGAGACTTCCAAAGGCTTCTCTTCTCCTTTGCCATGAGTGGAGCTACACGCATGGACACACACACACATGCCAAGCCGCAAAGGTTGGGAACTGCTGTTTTAGGACTTCTATGAATGAAGTAAAAAAAAAAAAAAGGCAGACTCAACACTCCAAAGAAGATGCCCCTATAGAGAAGTGGCCACCCAGTGATTAAGGCAACAGAGTGGCCACCAAACTGGCCTGAAGAACCCCAGAGACTTTTTACTCCCTTACTTAGTAGGGTGGCCTAGAGATAGAGCTCTAGCCTCACAATCAGGAGACTGAGTTCAATCATAGGTAGAGGCAGATCTTTCTCTCTCTGGGCTCAATAAGAATATGTCTGCTGAACAAAACTCCGCATTGGTTCCAGGAAGGGCATCCAGTCAGTTAAAACTCTAGCTCCATTCAGGTGCCCAGACTCCACCCTGGAAGGGATTATGGGGTCCTTAAAAGAAGATGATGACTTAGTAATAAATGGATACATTGACTTGACATCTGTTTTAGGACTCCTCTTACCATTGTTGTTGAGGTAAATATAGCAAATAAAGAATAATGTAGATAAAATAGGAATCATACAGAGTCAGATACATGAACTCTGAGAGACCCTCTCTATTCACATTATTATAAGAGAGGAAAGTGCTTGTTGGAAATTACATTAACAAACAGTTAAACCCCTTTAAGTGGTAATATATCTTCTGAGACCTAGATGTCACGGAAAGGACTGCCATATGGAAAAACATCTGGGTGACCTCACTGTGAATGATATAAAGACCTATATGTTACAAAGAGTTACTTAATCCAATAAATTTACCCAAGGACAGTAGTAACTCTCCCATTAGCAACTGAGAGCAGTTAAGGAAAAGTTGTAAACTAGAAAGCAATGATTAACCATATATGGGAAAACGGATGGTAAAGTATAATGTAATTAACAAATTTATGTGACCATATAGGGAAAGTGTATGAGATCATTGAATCCTTTGTCTTAGAAATGTATAAAAACCGTGGAATCAGAACATCCATTGTTCAGTTTTGAGAGAATCAAAAATGCACTGAACCTTTGCAAATAAATTGTCTCTGTCTGACCAGGAATATTGTTTCGTCCCTTCATTCCATAACATTGTCATTTCCAGAACCCTGCATCAAGTCTCTCCCCCCCCCCCCCCACTTCTTCCATCTGTCCCAGGAACACATCCGCATTTCCAAGAAGATTCGGGCACAGAGCAAGAGAAATGTATTCATAATCAGGTTTATATTGATATCTGTTATCTAATACATGCTTGACGAAATCAATTAAAATAAATTTAAAAAAAATCCAAGGTGCCCAGAAGCAAACATCAACCCTCCCTCCTTACCCACTACACCTTCTGTTCCCCCCCCTTCCCCCCCACTCAAAAGGCTAGCCCGGGCCTGGGATCTGAGCAGCTTTCCAACATCATTGGGCGGGGAAGGAGCATGCGCAGAAGTCCGTTATCACTGAACGGAGAAGATTGTGGGGGGGGTGGAGTTTCCCAGGGAAAAGCTCTCTAGCCAGCGGGAGGAACGGAGGTGCGCCTGTAGCGGCTCTGCCGCTCTAGGAAGGGGCTCTCGTTGATGGAGACTCCAAGCTAGGAGCGATTTGCAGCTGCCCTTCCCAGGCGCAGAACGTCCGAAGCAGCCCAGCCCCATTTCTCCCCTCCTGGAAAGCGGGCGGAGGGGCTGCTGGGCCACCTCGGACCGCCTGGGGCTTGTCTCGGCTCCCCTCGAGCAGGAGACGCCTTCAGGCCCGGGGTCTCCAGGGATGGAGGGCGCCCTCAGCCCAGAGATCCGCCGCCGCCGCTTCCGCGCTCTCGATGGCCGCCGCCAGGAGGCCGAGGGGCCCCGGGAGCTTTGCAGCCGCCTGCACCGGCTGTGCCGTCAGTGGCTGCGGCCGGAAAGGAGCAGCAAAGGGGAGATGCTGGACCTGGTGGTGCTGGAGCAGCTGCTGGCCCTGCTGCCCGCGGAGATGGCGAGCTGGGTGAGGGAGTGCGGGGCCGAGAGCTGTTCCCAGGCGGTGGCCCTGGCCGAAGGCTTCCTGCTCAGCCAAGCCCAGAGGGAAGGGCCGCCAAAGGGGCAGCAGGTGAGGAGGGGAGAATCGGGGAATCTTTCAACGCCTCCAATGAACCGATGGTAGCAACGGCAGATTGAAGGCTGTCAGTCTTGAGCCGGTCAGGATCAGGTGCAGAATTAGCCTGCTGACTGCCAGTATTTGGGGAACTAATTTCTTCTGGGAATCTCTTTGTTTTTATCTAACCTGTAGGGGCTTTTTTCAGTCATTTCACAGAATATTGTTTTCTAAAGTTAATGAAACAGTAGTGTCTCCCTGAATACTTGTGATTTTCATAGCAGTTCTGTTAGTTATTGCAACAGGGCTCCTTACATCCAATATCTATCCACAATGACCAGCATTTACCCAGAAATACCAGCCCCATAGAGAGGAGAGTTCTCTGACTTGGGTTGGAAAAATACAGGTACAGAGGCAAAAAGTAAGGCAAGCAAACTGAACATGAATCATAAAACCAGACTCTTCTGTCAGTTGCAGGAGCCGTTTATGGCTGAGATCTCCACAGAGGTCCAGGAAAGTGGATATCCATCCAGCCCTTCTCAGGAGTTGCTTTTCAGGAGGATCCAACTGGGACCTCCTTGCCAGGTAAGTGCAGGTTTCTTCTGAGAGCAGTGGAGTACAAACTTCATCTGTTCATGATCTGCTTTTACCATCAAATGCTGAATCTGTGACCATTTGAACTCAGTGTCCCCCTAGAATGTCCTGCTGAACCACACTCAGCGTTCAAGATTGTTCTTGAGTTGCAAACAAGAGAAAATTTGTAGGCTTCATTGTATTAGACAATCTAAAAATTAGAAATTGTTAGAAAATTTGTTTGCTGGAAAGACTTTAATACTTAACATTTTTCAGAAGAGTGCTGAAAACTAGTTAGAAATGAAGCCCATGAATTTAAAGAATAGGAATGAGATTAAAAACCACATGAATCCCTTGAGGATAAAGCCCTAAGTGAATGTTAAATAGCTGCAATAGTAAGATTGTTAGCTAAGTTACTTGGGGATTTCTAGGCTCATTGCTAACATTTTAAAATAGGTTAAGAAAAATTTCTAGTGGGTGTGTCATATTTACTTAGGAGTTTGCTAGCCTAGGGGACTCTGCTCCCCGAAACCTCTTTGCTGGGTTATTCTGGCCCAGTGGGAAGCTCTGCAATGATGGCTGTGTTGCCATTCAGCCTGGATGCACCTAAGCCATGATTTGTGGAACTACAGATTCCCAGCCCCAAAGACTATGTAGAGATGCAGTCGTAAATCTGTTTCCGGTACGAAAATGTCATTGAGTTCCTTTGAACTTCTGTTCCCATTTTGTGCGGTAAGAGAGAAAACTTGCAAGACTTTCCTGGTAATGTCTGCCAAGGAACATTTTCTTTCTCTTTCAGGGATCTGGTCCATTTGAGGAGGTGACTGTGGACTTCACGCTGGAGGAGTGGGAGCTGCTAGATTCTGGTCAGAAGACCTTGTGCAGAGAAGTCATGTGGGAAAATTTGAACAATATGGCTGCTCTGGGTAAGGCCATGCTTTGCTCTGGATTCCATTCATTGGGGGAGGTTTTTTCCAGTGGAGGATGACTAGCTATTTACACTCAGATGCTTAAGGTGATTGTCCCTCCTTAAGGCCTTGGCAAAATACTCACCTTAGACTCTGAAAATGTCCTAGATGCTCCATGGCAGTGGCTGAACAGATTGACCAATTAGCACCAAAGCCTTCATATATGTCTTGGCCTAAAAATTCTTTATATACCATCAGGATGTCCTAGATAACAATTTGCAGCCTTTACATCGTAGCTAGACACATAGCTGGTGCCAAACCTAGAACATATGATTTTGAGGGGGAGACACCCCCTCTTCACCATTCTAATTGTAACAGAAATATTTTTTTCTTTTTTCCAAGTAGATGATGGGCTGGAATATGAGAATAGCAAGCAAGGAAGGTTAAAGACAGAGAAGTGTGAAGCTGAAGAAGTGATATTTAGCCACGAGGACACAAGAAGACGAGAGAGGAAGCACTCAGAGAATGGAGGGGAGAAGTCCACTTCTGTTCCTGTTGGAATCCCTAGCTTCCTGTCCCAGCAAGACCTGGAAGGAAAGAAAAAGGAAAAATATGGGGAAAAAGAAAAAAGTCAATTTGATTTACATGAATGTGTCATAAACCAGACTGAAGGGAAAATGTATGAAAAATCTATCAGTCATTCTTTCTCCATGAAACTATGCATGGAGTGTGGAAAGAGATTCATTAGCAAGAGTAAACTTTTTCTCCACCAAAGGATCCACACTGGGGAGAGACCACATAAATGCATGGAATGTGGAATGACCTTTACACAGAAGGGACATCTTAGTCTTCATGAACAGATACACACTGGAGAGAGACCATATAAATGCATAGAATGTGGAACGACCTATAGACGAAAAGGACATCTTAATCGTCACGAAAGAATCCACACTGGAGAGAAACCATATAAATGTCTCAAATGTGGAAAGACCTTTACCCGGAAAGGAAATCTTAATTATCACGAAAGAATCCACACTGGGGAGAGACCACATAAATGCATGGAATGTGGAAAGAGTTTCATTACCAATGCTTGTCTTATCTGCCACCAAATGAAGCACATAGGGGAGAGACCACATAAATGCATGAAATGTGGAAAGACCTTTACAAGGAAAGGACAACTTAATTGTCACGAAAGAATCCACACAGGGGAGAGACCATATAAATGCATGGAATGCGGAAAGACTTATACACGAAAAGGACATCTTAATCTTCATGAAAGGATACATACTGGAGAGAAACCATATAAATGCATGGAATGTGGAAAGACCTTTACACGAAAAGGAAATCTTAATCGTCATGAAAGGATACACACTGGGGAGCCACTGGGCTCTGCCAGTTTTTTTCTTCTAAAGTGCTGAGCACCAAGTGTGAAAAGAGCTTTAATGACTACAGCACCTTTGATTGTTACAGTGGCATTCACACAAGAGAAAATTGGACATCACTGAGTGTACTTACTTCTCATCAAAGGATCGACACAGGAAAAATAAATGAAATCCATGGATTGAGGTTTATTCTCAACAGTCAACTTAATCATCATCCTAGGATCCAGACATGGCAGGAAGTTTGTTAATTCATGGAATGTGGAAAGATCTTTGGTTTGTATTGGAATCTTATTTACCTTCCATGTAGCTACACAAGAGAAAAAGTAGAAGCACTGGAATTTGAAAATTGCTGATGGGGGATCAGTGACTTTAGTTATCATAGGATGATGCTGTACTTCTTGAGGAAAATGCTTCCATTTCCTCTCTGAGATAATTCATGAAATTCAAACCTATGTTCATCTCCCACCTCTCTGAGGATATAAGAAACTCCCAAAATTAAGGGTTTCTCTACCCACCTTTTCTTTTTCCTAGTGCAGAATTTTGAGGCCCTTTTGCCATTTTAACTGAAATTCTTCAGATGTTATTAAAGTCTTATATGGCTTATATGGCTCTGTCATACAACATATACTGTATTTTTCGGAGTATAAGACACACTTTTTACCCCCCAAAAAGAGAGTGAAAATCTGGGTGCATCTTATACTCCGAATGTTGCATCAGCCATACTTGGGGGAGGGGGGAGGGAGTTGGGGAGGCGGCGGCAATGGGAGCAACAGGCAGCTGATTGGCGGTATTCTAGGAGGCTGATCCAACTGCCAATCGGAGAGGTGGGATTCAGACTGTTTGGATGAACTGTTAATTAAATTTTGGAGAATTGGCTGATTCCACCAGTCGAGTTGTTAGCCAAGGACGCCCTGCCATAGTGCCAGACCTGCTGCCTTGTCAGAGTTTGTTGCAGAAAATCAAATCCAGAAAGCACACACAGGTAACTGATGCAGCAGGATTCATTAACTTCTCTTTATATACAATATAACACATGAAGATAAATATACAATACCAATGGCTGATTCTTCCAACGTGGTAGAGAGGAGAGATCAGGTTCAGTTCAGTTCAGAGAGGCAGATAAGACCAGACTTGTTTAGTTCTCAGCACAAAATTTAATACAGACAAAGGGAACCTCCTCCATACAGGGCAGTTAACCTAAGCCTAAGCCACGCCCAGGCTCCAAGCTGTTTCAGCTCCCAAACAGCCCTCATTGGCTGACTTAGTTGCTATGCTTATACATTGGCTGACCTTGTTACCTTGTCCTATTCCAGCCAGTCCCCAATGGCTGACCTGTTGCCATGTCTATCCCAGTTCATGAATATTCTGACAAGACCTGCTGCCAGACCTGCCGCCTGACCTGCTGCCAGATCGCTGCTGCCCCATCACTGCTAGATCTGCTGCCCAACCGCCGCCGCCCCATCGCCGCCAGACCTGCCATCCCATCGCCGCTGTCTGATCACCATTAGCTGAGGACGACAACGCCCCATCGCCGTTAGCCAAGAACACCCTGCCACACTGCTGGACCTGCTGTTTCGCTGCCAGACCTGCCTGATCACCGTTAGCCACAGACGCTGGCGCCCTATCGCTGTTAGCCAAGGACACCCTGCCACACTGCCGGAGCTGCTGCTTCACCGCTGGACCTGCTGTCCCATTGTCACCGGCGGTGTAGAGGTAGGTCAAAGGTCATAGTGCCAGGCTGAGAGCAGCACACTGCCTTAGCTCATGCACTGTGGATCTTGCCTGCTTGTATGATCTCATTTTGGCTTTGATCTGCATTTTCTCACCTTGCCTTCAGAGGATAGCATCTTGAGAGGGGGGTGAATAGTTTCTACCAATTAGGACGCTGTTGCTTGCCTGCCTTTTTGTCTGCCTGTAAAAACTGTATAAAAAATAAAGCTCTCTGCGAGAGCGAGAAAGGCATCTTTGATCAGAGCAAATGACTGGACATTGATTTTCTACAGGGCAGATCTGCTGCCTGACCTGCTGTCCCATTGCCGCCTGAACTGCCATCTGACCTGCTGCCCCATTGCTGCTGCCCGATCGCTATTAGCCAAGGACACTCTGCCACATCACCGGACCTGCTGCCTGACCTGCCACTGGACGTGCCACCCCATCGCCACCGCCTGATCTGCCACCGGACTTGCCATCTCATCACTGCCAGATCTGTCACCCAATCACCATTAGCCAAGGACGCCCTGCCACACTACCAGACCTGCCAACTCACCACAGGACCTGCCGCCCAATTGCCACTGCGGACCTGCCACCTGACCTACTGGTGGACCTGCCGCCCCATCGCCACCAGACCGCATCAGAGAGAGGTATGGCTTGGCTTCCAGCACAGGAGAGGGTGGGCAAAGATTAGGGCAGTGGTGGAATTCAATTTTTTTAACAACCGGTTCTGTGGGCGTAGCTAGCTGGTCATGTGATTGGATGGGCGTGGCTATGTGCATAGGGACTATTCAGAGGGCTGAAAAAAGTCGTTTCTGACTGGTCCTCGCACTTATGACCATCCTCACATTTATGCCCGTTGCAGCATTCTTAACAACTGTGTCACTCATTTCACAACTACTTCTCTTCACCATGGTGAAAAGATAGGGGGCAAAACGTAAAATGTGAGGACAGTCGTAAGTTCGAGGACTGGTCAAAAGTGCGAGGACCGGTCAAAATAACTTTTTCAGCCCTCTGAGTAGTCCATATGCACATAGGGACTACCCAGAGGGCTGAAAAAGTGATTTCTGACAGTCCTTGCACTCTAGACCGGTCATCATTTATGCCCATTGCAGCATTCTTAATGAAATTAATAAAATAAAAATGACCTGCTGGAGCGGTCGAGGCAGTCCGAGACAGGCGTTCGGGCAAGGTGATACAACTGGGGTAGGTAGGCTGCTGCTGCCCAGGTGGGAGGCGGGCGCAGGCCTACAGGGCTGGCTGCAGGGTGAAGCGATCGGATGGGGTAGGTCAGGGCTCTGGAAATTTAAACACTCAACCTTAAACACATGCAAACAATTAAACACAACCTTAAACCTGGGTGGGCATTGCCAACTCCATATCACTTACTCTCACCCAGGTTTTGTGGCTCCCAGTATTTTCTTTGAAACTGGTATCTCTGTGTGTCTCTTTCATCTCTCTCATCTCTTTCTTTCTCCTTCCCTCTCTTTCTCTCCATCTCTCTTTCTCCCCCCTCTTTCTCTCCTTCGTCTCTTTCTCCCCTCTCTTTCTCTCCATCTCTTTCTCCCCCCTCTTTTTATCCTTCATCTTTCTCTCCATCTCTCTTTCTCACCCCCCCCTTTCTCTTTCATCTCTCTTTCTCACCACTCTTTCTCTCCTTCATCTCTCTTTCTCTCCATCTCTCTTTCTCCTCTCCTGCCCGGGTAGCAGTGGCGGCGGCAGCACACCTACCACACCATCGGGTTGCCGTCGGCCTGGAGGCAGCACCTTAAGCCTGCGTTCCACTGCACGTGTGCCCGCCTGGCTGCACCTGCAGCCGGCTCTGGTTGCTCTTACTGAGCCTCACAATGGGGCAGATGGTGCCCCTCCTCCTCCTGGAGCCCATTATGATGCAGAGCATTGGATGCAGCCTGGGCAGCCAATGTTCCGGGGCGGAGAAAAGTTGCGTGTCTCCCCCAGCGACTGGATGAGGTAGGGTAGGCTGGCACTGCGCAGGTGGGAGGCGGCCGCAGGACAGTCCTGCTGGGTCGGTGGCAGGCCGAGATGTTTGCATGGGGTAGCCAGCGGCCGCCAGCCCCTGGCTATCCAATCCAAGCACCTTGCTGGCCACCCAGTCCAAGCACCTTGCTGGCCACCCAATCCAAGCGCCTCACTAGCCATGCGGCCGCTGACCGCAGCCTATCCCCATCCAAGCACCTCGCTAGTGGCTGGCAGCCGTGTGGCTAGCAAGGCGCATGGATGGGGTAGCCAGCGGCTCACAGCTGCTGGCCACCCCATCCAAGCACTTCGCCAGCCACGCAGCCGCCAGCCACTAGCGAGGTGCTCGGATGGGGGTAGGCTGCGGCTGGCAGCCGTGCGGGCGCAGGTCGACCACCTTTCCCAGCCCCACTTCCCCGAGGGCAGCACTCGGCTGTACTTGCCTGTTGTGCTGCTGGAGCAGTCGGGGGCAGTCTGATGTTGATGTTCGGGAACAGAGTGGGAGGCCGCTGCGGGCAAAGTTAGGAAAGCAGGCCGGGCCACATGGTCGAGGAGCCAAAGAATAACTGCAGGCAAGCTGTGCAACACTGCGAGCGACACCAGTAAATAGTGGTGGGCGGGATGGAGCGAGAGGCGGGCGAGCCAGCAATTTAACAAACGGTTTGGTGTGCTGCGAGACCAATAAATTACAAAAAAACACTGAACCGTTTGTTAAATTGCTGGCTCACCAGCCCCTTGCCCTGCCCCACCTGCCACTATTTATTGGCAATAAATAGTGGTGGGGAGGGGCAGGCGAGCCATCAATTTAACAAACAGTTTGTGTGCTGCAGGGGCCGAGGCCAATAAATAGTGGTGCAGAGGAGCAGGGCAAGGGTCGGGGCGAGCCAACAATTTAACAAACGGTTCGGCCGAATCTCCTAGAACTGGCAGTCTCCCACCACTCGGTTAGGGTTAAGGGTTAGTGGTTGGGGTTAAAGGTTACGGTTAGGGTTAGTGCCTGTTTGTGTTTGTAAAGATAACATGGCTAGATTTTTTTTTTTCGGGAGGAAAAGAATCACCAATGTCCTAATATTCTCAGCTTGCTAAGTTTAAGGCAGGGGCATAATGAGCTAGTGTGACATGTACTGGTACTGTATACGGTATACCGGTATCTTGTGTATGAATGTATGAACATGGTTTCAGCTACAGTGTTCTGTATTGCTATAAAGGACACATTACTGTTCTTTCTTGCAGAAAAAGAAAAAGACGCTACATACCGGTACAACGATGTCAAAGCAAAAAAGGCAAGCATATAAAATCTATTTCAAGCTGGAAGTCGTGAAATATGCTGAGGAATATGGAAACAGAGCAGCAGGGAAACATTTTGGACCACCTAAAACTGAAAAAATGATAAGAAAGTCAAGGAAACAGGTGGATCAGCTGCAAAAAATCAAGGATAAAAGCAAGCACAACTTTTGTAGGCTTCCTGCAAAGTGGCCACAGTTAGAGGAGGATATGAAAGACTGCATCACACGTCACCGGAACAGTAGCTTTGCAGTTTCCACAAAAAAATTGATATATGAAGCCAAACACATTGCTGCACAGAAAGGCATTCGGGATTTTATTGGATCGCCATTGTGGGGCTTCAGATTTATGAGGAGAGATGGTCTTGCTATGCGCACCAAAACTAGAATTACGCAAAAAATGCCAAAAGGGTATGAATCTTAAGATTCTGTCTTTTCATACTTTTGTGATAGTCCAGGAAGAAAAATAATTTTGAAATTGGCCAGATTGGGAATATGGATGAAGTTCCGCTAACCTTTGATGTGCCATCCAATAAGGTGCCAAAAGCATAACCGTGAATACCTCAGGAGATGAGAAAATACATTACACGGTTGTGTTGTTCTGCTGTGCAGACGGCACCAAATTGCCACCAATGTTAATATTCAAAAGGAAAACCTTCCCAAAGGAAGTGATTCCAAGAGGTGTTGTTGTGCATGTCCATGAGAAAGGATGGATGGACGAACATGGAATGAAAGTATGGATTGAAAAAGTGTGGTCCCAACGTCTGGGAGGGCTTCCGAAAAAACCTCCTTTGTTAGTGCTTGACCAGTTTAGAGCACATATTAGTGAAACCACAAAGAAAAGATTCAAAGAAGTGAAGACTCATCTAGCTGTAACTCCTGGGGCTCTTACCACCCTGTTGCAACCTCTTGACATTTCCATCAACAAACCATTCAAAGTGTACATGCGAGAAGAGTAGAACAAATGGATGGCTGCTGGTAATCCTCATCTGACACCCACTGGACGAATGAGGAGGCACACTGTCACTCAGGTTTGTGAATGGGTAAAAACATAATGAAACTCAGTGAAGGACGAAATTGTTACACGATCATTCAAAAAATGTGGCATTAGCAATGCCTTAGATGGAACTGAAGATGATATTTATGAAGGTAGTGAAGAAAGTGATGTCAGTGATTGTGAGCAACTGAGCTTCCTAAATTCTGACACCAGCGATGATGATGAATTCTTTGGGTTTCCAGAAAATTAGAGGAATGCTTGAACCTTAAAGTCTCTCCTCATTTGTTAATGACAGTCATGATGGTTCTTAATACCGCTGTTGACTTTACATGGTTGTTAAAATTATGCTTGGTTATAAAAATTATTCTGCTATATTTTATTAAATATATTATTACACCATTTGGTTCAGAATATTTTTTTCCTTGTTTTCCTCCTCTAAAACCTAGGTGTGTCTTATACTCCGAAAAATACAGCAACTTTATATAGTTGTTGCTCTCTATCACCACCTAGTGGCCGGAGAGACAAATATGCCCCAACTATATTGTCTGAAGCTGACTGCCCATTTACCCATCAGCTCGCTCTCAAACCAAGTGCATGCTGGGAAACCAAACTCCATTTCCCTTGGCATTTGGAGAAGGCAGAAGGAGCCATTTTAACCTATCGCACATGGTCATCCAAGAGCAAACTCATATGCCACACACAGAGCATTGCTGATGAAATTCAAACTGCTTATATTTATTATTTGTTATATTCAGCAGACAGCAGTCTATCTTATATTTGATTTTCACTATATGTGTTCCTATTTCCTTCAGCTTCACCATATCCTGTTCTCATATCCTTGTTACGTTCAGCAGTAACTTAATACTGTGTTTTCCCGAAAATAAGACCCTGTCTTATATTTTTTTGAACCCTGAAATAAGCGTTTGGCCTTATTGCCCAATTGGGTTTATTAGGGGATGTCTTATTTGGGGGGAAACGGTACTATCTTATATTTGATTCTCACTATATGTATTTCTACTTCCCTCACTTTTACCATACCCTGGTCTCCCAATAAAGCATTCAGATCTACATACACGGACCATTTTATTGGAGGCTAGGTGGGTTGAGCTGCCTGTCGAGCTGCACACAGACTAACGTGCAGTGGGGACAGAACAGGTTCTGTTTCTCTTCTTTACCATCAGTGAGAAAAGACTTCTATGGAACACGGATAGGGGTGTGGAAATGACTCTGGGAGACGGGGAAGAGTCACAGTCTGGACAACCACCATTGAAAAGATATCCTCATCCCCAGAAGGAGACGGAGAGAGTGGGGCACTGGAAGAATGGCAGAAGAAACTCCCCCTGTGGTATCGCTGAATGTGTGAAGGAAGATGTGGTGGCTTTCATATTTGCAGGAGGCTGAAGAGTGGCTCTTTCAGTCGGTCTTCTTCTGCTTGAGTCCAGTCCACTATTTCAGCTGTGTATCGAAAGACTTTAATTGCCCAGGTTTTAAATGCCTTGATGTATTTCCTCCATTGAGCTTGAACTTTAAGATCTTTTTCACTCTTGATGTATTCACTTCTAACCTTCCACTTCAATGTGCTTGATCTTGTCAGTTTAAAGAATGCCAAGGTACAGAGCCATAGGGCTCTGCAAGTTTTTTTTTTCCTAAAGTGCTGAGCCTCTGCATGGATTTTTTATAGTTATGGGGCTTTTAAAAACCTTGCAGGGCTTCAGCATTTTAGGAAAAAAAATTTCCAGAGCCCTTTGGCTTTAAAAAACACTTTTAGAGCAGTGCAGCCAAAGGTTCAGAGGCAACGGCAGGGAGGGCGTTTTTTGGGGTCAAAATAGGAAACTCCTGCCTGCCACTAGCTGTTATTTTCTGTTTTGTTTCCAGTTCTTCCTTGTTCTTTCTTGCTTCTATGGTATTTCTTCATTAGGTATTTTGTAGTCTTCTTATTCTTCAGCATCTTGTTTTTCATGTTCTCATTTCATTGCATCGGATCTCAGCTTGCTGATCTTATTTTCCAGTCTGAACTTCTATTTTGGTAGCGAACTGTTTGACATTTTTTCTTCTTTGTTGATTTTCCATCCTAGATATTTAGCTATCACTGCAGCTGTGCTGTACCTCAATTGGTTTGTTTCTTGAAGTGAGCCTGTCTCTATATTTGTCTCTATATCTTTTTCTGAAGACGCTTCAGTGCAGGCAACTTTATTCTGTGTGTGCGTGTATGTTTTTCTACTTGCTCAGTTATTGTTTCAGTTTTTCAATTTATTAGTTAGAGGGTTTTGTTATTTCTGAGGCAGAGGTGAGGATGCTTCGTTTCTGAATGAAATCATTTCTATAGCTTTTGTGGCCCGTCAGCGGCCTGTGCAGCTAGTAGCTGATTCAGACAGCGAGGAGGCTGGTGTGGTGCTGCGCCAGCAGCCTGTGCAGCTGGCACTCGAGTCAGACAATGAGGAGTTGGAGAAGATGTGCCAGAGGCGGGGATTCAGCCAGGGCCTTCAGAACCTCCAGAAACTCCTTTAAGTGAAGAGGATGAAGAGGAGGAGCCTCTTTTCAATTCATGAGCATGTAGAGCTGCCAAAAGGCAGGAGGGGCTCCTCAGGAGGAGGTCTCCTCGAGAGTAAGGCTTGGGGCTAATTGGCCACTCCCTTAGCCTATTTAAGGAGGAAAGCCTTTCCTTCACATACCTTCATGTCTTGACTTGTTTATCTTATCAGCTTCCTGCATATTGCTTCTGGGCATTCTGCCAACCACAATAAGCTTTGAGTATTATTCTTTGAATTCTTGGCTGCTGTTAATGCAGTTAATTAACAGCCATTGTTGTAAAAAACTGGTTTAGTGTGTGCTGCCACCTTTGGGGTCCCTAGCTGGGGCAGAACAATAGCTATGCTTGCTTCCGCTACTCCCAATTCCCCCTGGTTTGTCTCTACAGTCTGACTTACTTCTGGAAATGCTTTGGTTTCTTTACCCTCGGCATCATTATGTTATCCATCGTCTATCCACTACAAAACGAAGGCCTCTTCCACATGTTTCCAACCAATGCAGTCCTGAGATTTCTTTGGGCCCACAATACTTGCTGATGTCATCACTCCATTTTGTTTTAGATCTCTTTCATGGATGCTTTTTATCAAGTGGGATCCATTCTATAACTGCCTCGGTCCACCTGCCATCGGTTCTTCTTGCTATGCAACCTGCCCTTTTCCATTTAAATTCTTTTCTTCCCTATGGATGAAATTGTATACTTTCGTTTGTTCTCTAATCCAGAGTTGCCCAAATTTTCTGGGTTGGCAGAACATGTGCGTGCGCAAAGAGGCACATGAGCAAACAAGGCCAGCGCCGCACAACGCTTGTAGTGATGCTAGAGCCTGCATGATAACCATATGGTAGCACCCAGGCGACACTTGCTCCGTCCCCAGTGCCCCAAGACACACAGTGATCCCAGCGCCCCCACACTCATGGCAACACTAGCACCAGTGGGGTGTGTGCACATACTCACATGCGTGCACTGACCAGCCATTCACATGGCCTGTTGGCCAACAGGGAACTGCCTGGTAGTGGGCTGCAGCCCACAGGTTGGGTACCCCTACTCTACTCCATGTGCAGGTCGTTCTATCTTGAAGGTGTGCTTCCAATGATTTGTTTCTATTCACCATATAAGAAGAGCTCTAGGTAGAATACTTTATGATTGGGACAGTGCTCCCATTGCTTTTCCCCAGGAAGAGAAGGCCCGAGGAAGCAGACAGCCATTTCTCCACTCCTCCAAATTGGAGAAGGGGGTATGGAGGAGCTGGGGAAGCACCTCCGATTGCCTTGGGCTTCTTTTGGCCATCCAATGGAGGCCTAGAGATCTCCAAGGATGGAGGGCGCCCTCAGCCCAGAAATTCAACACCAACGTTTCTGCGGGTGCTATTGCTGCCAGCACCTCCCCCCACCCCAGCCCACGAGCTTTGCAGCCACCTGAAGCGATGTGAGTAGAAAGAGCATCCGGCCAATAAACATTCTACTAGATCCATTCAGGTGCCCAGATACCACCCTGGAAATGATTATGGGGTCCTTAAAAGAAGATGATGACTTAGTAATAAATGGATACATTGACTTGACATCTGTCTTAAGACTCCTCTTGCCATTTTTTTCATTTCCAGAAACCTCCATTCAAGTCTCTTCCCTTCCCCCCACCCAACTTAGTCCATCTGTCCCAGGAATGCATTTGCATTTCCAAGAAGATTCGGGCACAGAGCAAGAGAAATGTATTCATAATCATGTTCATACTTATATCTGTTATCTAATACATGCTTGACGAAATCAATTAAAATAAATAAAAAAATAAATCCCAGGTGCCCAGAAGCAAACATCAACCCTCCCTCCCTACCCACCACACCTTCTGTTTCCCCCCCGCCCCCCCTTCCCCCAGCTCAAAAGGCTAGCCCGGGCCTGGGATCTGAGCAGCTTTCCAACATCATTGGGCGGGGAAGGAGCATGCGCAGAGGTCCGTTATCACTCTGAGCGGAGAAGATTGTGGGGGGGTGGAGTTTCCCAGGGAAACTCTAGCCAGCGGGAAGAAAGGAGGGGCGCCTGTAGCGGTTGTGCCGCTCTAGGAAGGGGCTCTCGTTGATGGCGACTCTCCAAGCCAGGAGCGATTTGCAGCTGCCCTTCCCAGGCGCAGAAGGTCCGAAGCAGCCCAGCCCCGTTTCTCCCCTCCTGCAAAGCGGGCAGTCCGGGCGGAGGGGCTGCTGGGCCACCTCGGCTCCCCTCGAGCAGGAGACGCCTTCAGGCACGGGGTCCCCAGGGATGGAGGGCGCCCTCAGCCCAGAGATCCGCCGCCGCCGCTTCCGCGCTCTCGATGGCCGCCGCCAGGAGGCCGAGGGGCCCCGGGAGCTTTGCAGCCGCCTGCACCGGCTGTGCCGTCAGTGGCTGCGGCCGGAAAGGAGCAGCAAAGGGGAGATGCTGGACCTGGTGGTGCTGGAGCAGCTGCTGGCCCTGCTGCCCCCGGAGATGGCGAGCTGGGTGAGGGAGTGCGGGGCCGAGAGCTGCTCCCAGGCGGTGGCCCTGGCCGAAGGCTTCCTGCTCAGCCAAGCCCAGAGGGAAGGGCCGCCAAAGGGGCAGCAGGTGAGGAGATCTTTCAACGCCTCCAATGAACCGATGGTAGCAATGGCAGATTGAAGGCTGTCAGTCTTGAGCCGGTCAGGATCAGGTGCAGAATTAGCCTGCTGACTGCCAGTATTTGGGGAACTAATTTCTTCTGGGAATCTTTTTGTTCCTTGAAATGCTTGTTTCCTCTTGGGAGATAATTCTGAGAGACAATTTCTTCTCCAACATCTCTTTTTCTTTCCTCTAGTGCAGGAATTAATTGGGACACTTTTTCCAGTTCAGCTGATGATATTCAAATGATTAATTCTCAGTCACTCCCATAGTTCTGACTTTATTACCTAAAATGTTAGACTATCAACTTTAGGGGTGTTTTTCAATCCTTTCACAGAATATTGTTTTCTAAAGTTAATGAGACAGTAGTGTCTCCCTGAACAGTTCTTCATTATGGGAGTCCTTGTGATTTTCATAGCAGTTCCTTTAGTTATCGCAACAGAGCTGCTTACATCCAATATCTACAATGACCAGCATTTACCCAGAAATAGCAGCTACATAGAGACCAGAGTCCCCAAGTTCTCTTATTTCGAATTAGGTTGGGGAAATACAGGTACAGAGAGAAAAAGTAAGGGAAGCAAACTAATACGGTTCTGGTTCCCTGAAAGTGGATCATAAACCAGACTCTTCTGTCAGTTGCAGGAGCCGTTTATGGGTGAGATCTCCACAGAGGCCCAGGAAAGAAGAGATCCATCCACCCCTTCTCAGGAGCTGCTTTTCAGGAGGATCCAACTGGGGCCTCCTTGCCAGGTAAGGGCAGGTTTCTTTTGAGAGCAGTGGAGTACAAACTCCATCCGTTCATGATCTGCTTTTACCATGAAATGCTGAATCTGTGTCTATTTGAACTCAGTGTCCCACTAGAATGTCCTGCAGAATCACACTCAGCGTTCAAGATTGTTCCTGAGTTGCAAACAGGAGAAAATTTGTAGGCTTCATTGTATTAGACAATCTGAAAATTAGAAATTGTTAGAAAATTTGTTTGCTGGAAAGACTTTAATACTTAACATTTTTCAGAAGAGTGCTGAAAACTCATTAGAAATGAAGCCCATGAATTTAAAGAATAGGAATGAGATTAAAAACCACATGAATCCCTTGAGGATAAAGCCCTAAGTGAATGTTAAATAGCTGCAATAGTAAGACTGTTAGCTAAGTTACTTGGGGATTTCTAGGCTCATTGCTAACATTTTAAAATAGGTTAAGAAAAATTTCTAGTGGGTGTGTCATATTTACTTAGGAGTTTGCTAGCCTAGGGGACTCTGCTCCCTGAAACCTCTTTGCTGGGTTATTCTGGCCCAGTGGGAAGCTCTGCAATGATGGCTGTGTTGCCATTCAGCCTGGATGCACCTAAGCCATGATTTGTGGAACTACAGATTCCCAGCCCCAAAGACTATGTGGAGATGCAGTCCTAAATCTGTTTCCGGTAAGAAAATGTCATTGAGTTCCTTTGAACTTCTGTTCCCATTTTGTGCGGTAAGAGAGAAAACTTGCAAGTCTTTCCTGGTAATGTCTGCCAAGGAACATTTTCTTTCTTTTTCAGGGATCTGGTCCATTTGAGGAGGTGACTGTGGACTTCACGCTGGAGGAGTGGGAGCTGCTAGATTCTGGTCAGAAGACCTTGTGCAGAGAAGTCATGTGGGAAAATTTGAACGATATGGCTGCTCTGGGTAAGGCCATGCTTTGCTCTGGCTTCCATTCATTGGGGTGGTTTTTTTCAGTGGAGGATGACTAGCTATTTACACTCAGATGCTTAAGGTGATTGTCCCTCCTTAAGGCCTTGTCAGAAATACTCACCATAGACTCTGAAAATGTCCTAGTTGCTCCATGGCAGTGGCTGAACGTATTGACCAATCAGCACCAAAACCTTCATATATTTCTTGGCCTAAAAATTCTTTATATACCATCAGCATGTCCTAGATAACAGTTTGCAGCCTTCACATCCTAGCTAGACACATAGCTGCCACCAAACCTTGAACAGGGGAGACCCCCCACTTTTTCACCATTCTAATTTTAACAGAAATATTTATTTTCTTTTTTCCAAGGAGATGATGGACTGGAAAATGAGAATAGCAAGCAAGGAACGTTAAAGATAGAGAAGTGTGAAGTTGAAGAAGTGATAATTGGCTACGAAGAGGACACAAGAATGGAGAATGGAGGGGAGAAGTCATCCACTTCTGTTGCTGTTGGAATCCCCAGCTTCCTGTCCCAGCAAGATCTGGAAGGAAAGAAAGAGAAAAAATATGGGAAAAAAGAGAAAAATCAAATTGATTTACATGAATGTGGCATAAACCAGACTGAAGGGAAAATGTATGAAAAATACAGCAAAAGCAAACCACATACCTTTGTAAATTCTGGGAGAGATTCCAGTCGAAGCAGAGAGATGAAACTATGCATGGAGTGTGGAAAGAGATTCATTAACTGGAGTGCACTTATTCTCCACCAAAGGATCCACACTGGGGAGAGACCACATAAATGCATGGAGTGTGGAAAAAGCTTTACCCAGAAAGGGCATCTTAATTCTCATAACAAGATCCACACAGGGGAGAGACCATATAAATGTATGAAATGTGGAAAGGCCTATACACGAAAAGGACATCTTAATTTTCATGAAAGGATACACACTGGGGAGGGACCATATAAATGCACAGAGTGTGGAAAGGGCTTTTCCGAGGAGAAAGAATTTACTCGCCACCAAATGATCCATACAGGGGAAAGACTGTATAAATGCCTGGAATGTGGAAAGAGCTTTACTCAGAAAGGATATCTCATTGCTCATGAACGGATCCACACCGGTGAGAGGCCATATCAATGCATGGAGTGTGGAAAGAGATTCATTAACAACAGTGCACTTATTCTCCATCAAAGGATCCACACCGGGGAGAGACCACATAAATGCATGGAGTGTGGAAAGAGCTTTATTCAGAAAGGACAACTTAATCGTCATGAAAGTATCCACAAAGGGGAGAGACCATATAAATGCATGGAATGTGGAAAGGGCTTTACTCGGAAAGTATATCTCATTTCTCATGAAAGGATCCACACAGGGGACAGTCCTTACAAATGCATGGAATGTGGAAAGGGCTTTTATGACATGACAAGTGCTACTCGTCACCAAAGAATTCACACAGGTGTTGTGGCCCGCCAGCAGCCTGTGCAGCTGGTAGCTGATTCCGACAATGAGGAGGCTGGTGGTGTGATTCGCCAGCAGCCTGTGCAGCTGGTACCCGAGTCAGACAATGAGGAGGCTGAAGAAGATGTGGTGCCAAAGGTGGGGATTCAGCCAAGGCCTTCAGAACCTCCAGAAGCTCCCATAAGTGAAGAGGAAGGAGAGGAGGAGCCTCTTCTCGATGCATGATCGCGTAGAGCTGTTAAAAGGCAGGAGTGGCTCCTCAGGAGGAGGTCTTCTCAAGAGTAAGGCTTGGGGCTAATTGGGCACTCCCCTAGCCTATTTAAGGAAGGATGATGACTGATGCAATTTGCAGGAAACAACTTCGTTCATATGTTCATATTCCTTCGTGTCTTGATTCCAGAAACTTTTGATCGGCTCTTGCTTCTCTCATGTCAGTTTTCCTGCAAATTGCTTCTGGGCATTCTGCCAACCAGAGTAAGATTACAGTTATCTGAAATACTGTGCCTCAGAATTGAGTTGTTATTCTTTGGATTATTGTCAGATGTTAATGAAGTTAAATTAACAGCTCTTGTTCAGAAAAGACTGAACTGTATTTGTGTTCGAACAACTACTACAAAAGCTCATTAGTTGTCCTTAATTAGTAAACTAAGGTTTGTACGGACTTTGTGTGTGCTACGTTCTTTGGGGTCCATAGCTGGGGCAGAACAGCAGGAGGGAACATATAGATGCCTTGAGTGTGAAGAAATCTTAATGACTACAGCACCTTTAGTTGTCAGATTGTATGCAGACAGGAAAACTAAAAATGCATGGAAAGTGGATCAAGCTTGACTTAGTGTAGGTGCTCCCCTCTCATAAAAGGATGCACACAGGAAAAGCTGTACAAATCTATAGACTGATCTTTATTTGTAAGAGCCAACTTATTGATTTTTTTTAATTTAAATTTTTTATACCGCCCTTCTCCCGAAGGACTCAGGGCGGTGTACAGCCAAGATAAAAAACCAACAATATAAAAGTTAAAAACAATTTAAAATTATTAAATAGTTTGGCCAATACTCTAAAATAAAATAACCGAAGGATCCAGACATGCCAGGCAGCTTATTAATGCACAGAATATGCAAAGATGTTTATCTTGAGCCTGAATCGTATTTACCATCCAAGCAACAAGAAAAGGTAGAAGCACTCAAATGTGGAAAGAACTGAAGATGGATCAATGGGCTAATTTTTCATAGGATGACCCATTCAGGAGAGTCACCATAGAGACGTAAAAGAGAATGGGCGAGTTAGTGAAAATGCACTATTGTCTCACTCATCTAACACTTTCCGCACATATTCTCAGATATGGGGCACATAGAATCTCTTTGAAAGTTGGTTATCTTGGTATTGTTTTAGTGCTGGGCATGTGATCCCTCAGTGGTTCAGTCCCTAGTCATCTCACAGTTGGGCTATCATAATGCACTCTACATGGGGTACCCTCGAGGAGCATTCAGAGGCTACAAGTGGTGCAGAGTGCGATGGCCTGAGCAGTTTTGGGAACCCCCAAAATGGCCTCTGTAACACTATTGTTCCGTGAGCTACATTGGTACCGTCTCACCCCACTGGGATTTATCTGCCCCACTCGAGCCAGCAGAGGAGGCATGCTGCGTTTCCCACTAGCCCAGGGGTGGGTTCCAATTTTTTTTACTACCGGTTCTATGGGCATAGCTTGTTTGGTGGGCGTGGCTTGGTGGTCATGTGACTGGGTGGACGTGGTTTGGTGTGACGGTTTGGTGGTCACACCCCTGGGTGTGGTTTGGTGGGCGTGACTGTGGGCGTGGCCAACTCGACATCACTCACATCAAGGGTTAAGGTTAGGGTGCCTGACCTCTCCTTACCTCAGAGGCCTCAACGAGATAGTTTCCCTGTCTATTTATTTACTACTACTGAACATCCAAAATATACTATTTAATCCTATGTACATATGCCAAATGTGTGCATACATATTACATAGTATAGAGTATATAGGCACACAAAAAGATACATTATCTACTATATATACTGTATGTGTATGTACACACACAGAGAGCTCTTTTAAAACTATACACATTCAACCTCACTCACTACATTTGGAAAAACACACCCAGAATCCACTTTCTGCCACACATTTAACTATAACTTCTATACATTTAGAACATTACACACACCTTCAGATATTCTTCCCTACCTAGCTTGCACATGCCTGTTAGAGCCAGGAGAAGTCATGGATTGAGTAAAATGTGGTGAAACTCACTTAACAACGCTCTTGTTTAGCAACCAAAATTTTGGGCTCAATTGTGGTATTAAATCAAGGACTATCTCTGCCTTCCTCTGCATGGCAGCCTTGTCCTAGTAAACTCCTTTTCCTTTCTGGCAATTTTCCTCTCTGTTGGAGGCACCAAAACAATCTAGATGATATAAGGTTTCCTGCTGGAACAGGGGGTTAGACTAGATGGCTCCAAGGTCCCTTCCAGCCCCAGATTGCTATCCTGTTTCAAAGCGTCTTCTGAAGCCACGTCTAGTGCCAGGGTTTGTGGTCCTTCCTCTTTTCTTTCTTTCTCTTTCTTTCTTTCTCCCTCTCTTTCCCTCCCTCCCTCCCTCCCTCTTTCTTTTTCTTTCTTTCTCTCTCTCTCTCTCTCTCTTCCTCCCTCCTTTCCTTTCCTCCTTAAATGCCAGCAAAACCCACCACTTTGCTCCTAAAGTGGTCTAGGGCAGAAGTCTCCAACCTTGGCAACTTTTAGACTTGTGGACTTCAACTCCCAGAGTTCCTCAGCCAGCAAAGCTCCCAGAGTTCCTCAGCCAGGTGAGGTAGTGGTGGCAGGAACACTTCAGAGGCCTGGCCCTTGAACAGTCTGAACCTGCTGCCCAGGCCTCTACTTCAGTACTAGTGGAGTCAGCACCACTACTGAGGAATCCAGTCAAGCACCCGAATGCCACAGCACAAACCCCCAGCCACCTCATGCTCCACAAGTGCTGCCATGCCCAACTGACCTTCACCATGTTCTCCCACTCTTAACCAGGCAGGTCCAGCCTTCCAGGAGGCAGCTGCCGGTTGTGTCAGACCCTCTTCCAGATGCTGCTCACAGCCTTCTTCAGATTGCACCAGCTACTCTCCAAGAAGTACACCCCGTTCCCATGTGGAAAGAATCTTTGGAAAGATTCTGAGGCCTTCCAAGGCATCGCAAAACTGGGGGCGCTTGCTATTCTCCAAATGGTGCTGTAAAAGAGAGTGCAATGGAGAATGGAAGGCGCACACAGGAAGTGGTTTTGCCCAGTGGGAAAGAGCTGAGGTTGTCTCAGGGAACCAGGTGTAGGAGAAGCTGAGGGAAGCCCCAGTGCTCTCTCACTGGGTGAAAGCGCTTCCAGCATTACCCCTTTGCAAAAAATCCTGGGCAGGGGTTGGGCTGGCTTTGTGTTGTGGCCCATCAGCGGCCTGTGCAGCTAGTAGCTGATTCAATTTATTAGTTATTTTGTTATTTCTGAGGCAGAGGAGAGGATGCCTCGTTTCTGAATGAAATCATTTCTATAGCTTTTGTGGCCCGTCAGCGGCCTGTGCAACTAATAGCTGATTCTGACAGCGAGGAGGCTGGTGTGGTGCTGCGCCAGCAGCCTGTGCAGCTGGCACTCGAGTCAGACAATGAGGAGGCTGGAGAAGATGTGGTGCCAGAGGCGGTGATTCAGCCAGAGCCTTCAGAACCTCCAGAAGCTCCCTTAAGTGAAGAGGACGAAGAGGAGGAGCCTCTTCTTGATGCACGGATGCGCAGAGCTACCAAAAGGCAGGAGTGGCTCCTCGGGAGGAGGTCTCCTCAAGAGTAAAGCTTGGGGCTAATTGGCCACTCCCTTAGCCTATTTAAAGAGGAATGCCTTTCGTTCACATACCTTCATGTCTTGTCTTGCTTATCTTATCAGCTTCCTGCATATTGCTTCTGGGCATTCTGCCAACCACAGTAAGCTTTCAGTTATTATTTTTTGAATTCTTGGCAGCTGTTAATGCAGTTAATTAACAGCCCTTGTTGTAAAAGACTGATTTATTTAGTAAACTAAGGTTTGAACGGACTTTGTGTGTGCTGCGTTCTTTGGGGTCTGTAACTGGGGCAGAACACTTTGCCATGGGAGAAAAAAGGTGGGAGGGGGAGTCTAGAAGGCAGTGTAAGGTCCCAAAATACACTTGAGTCACCAGAATGCCAAAGAGAGAGACTCAAGACGAGGCTTGCAAAAAAACCAGATTTTATGGCCAAAAACAAAATACTGAGTGGAACTATATCCAGAACATACAGATACAATGCATGCGAGGAGATAGCCACACCTTGGGGAAGGTATGGCGTCCTTTTATACCCTCAGAGATGTCAGCTTAGTACCCAATTCTGGCCTCCTAATTTAGGTTTGTGTATTCCTTGTTGCCCTGCAAGGGGGAATAGAAACTTCCCAATTAGTCATCTTAAGCATTTCTTTGTTTACTTAATTGGCCACTTAGCCCCTGGCTGTGGAAGACCCAGTTTATCCAGATCAAACATAAATTAGGGCTGAGGTGTAAATTATCCCTTGGAGATACGTACCATGCTCTTAGATGGCACAAGAAAAAACAGGGAGAAGATTTATATGGGTTTAGGTCAAATGGCAGGGACATATGTTTGACAAATACCAGATACATTACAGATACATAACAGAATATGTTTGTTACAGGAGATACAAATATAAAGGCATAATATATGTGATACAAAAACAAAGGCATATATGTATTACAGGAACCTAATGGTTACAGAATATAGTATACCAGTATATCATATTCTAGTATTATTTATTATATCCTTATTATTGTTTACCTTCAGCAGATTTCAGGTGTTTTTTTTTCCCAGCACAAAGTAAGCGGCCCTATTGCGAACCGGTAGTAAAGGTAAGTAGAACCCACCCCTGTTCCATTAAGGATCTGTATACTGCACAAGTCAAAAAGAGGGCTGTGAAAATATCTACAGACCCTTCACATCCTGGACATAAATTGTTTCAACTTCTACCCTCAAAAAGACGTGAAGGGAAACAATAATAAGGATATAATAAATAATACTAGAATATGATATGCTGGTATACTAGATTCTGTAACCATTAGGTTCCTGTAATACATATATGCCTTTGTATTTGTATGTCTTTATATTTGTATCTCCTGTAACAAACAAATTCTGTTATTAGGCCTCTCTAAATGTATCTGGTATTTGTCAAACATATGTTCCTGGCATTTGATCTGAACCCATATCAATCTTCTTTCTGTTTTTCTTGTGCCATCTAAGAGCATGCTACGTATCTCAGTTAGAACATCATCTGCAGGGATAATTTACACTTCAACTCTAACTTACACCTTTGATCTGTATAAGCTCCTTCCTTGCAGAACCAGGGGGCCAAATGAGCAATTGGGAGAACAAAGGAATGCTCAAGGAAAAGATAACACTAATTGGGAGGATTCTATTCCTTTGCAGGGCAACAAGTAATACACAAACCTAAACTAGGAGGCCAGAATTGGGTACTAACCTGATGTCTCTGAGGGTATAAAAGGACACCATACCTTCTCCAAGGTGTGGCTATCTCCTTGCATGCATTGCATCTGTATGTTCTGGATATAGTCCCACCCAGTATTTTGATTTTGGCCATAAATAAAAT